TTCTTATTTATCTGTGTTCATCTTTATGAAGTTGGCTAGATTATAAGCATATATAGGGCTATATTCCTCCGGTAGTAAAGAATAAAAAAGTTGAAAGTATTCTTCGTTGCACTGGGCTTAATTAAATGAAATTTATAAATATATATATAAGGATAAGACAAAAGTTGATCATCCCTGCTAGGCCCCTAACGTTGCAATCTTATCAACATTTGAGAGAAAACTGCCAATTCATCTGAATACATAAATACATTCGAGCTGTATTAACCCTATTTAGCTTAATGTGGTTAAAAACTGGTGGCTAAATTCTTCCACATTAAAGTTCACATAGCCTTGCTTGAAAACAGGTTTTCTCTGAGTGTACTGCATCTTTGACCTTAATTAGGTCTAATCAGCAACTTAGCTTGAGTAAAATCCGAATAGTGCAGCGTATAGTCTCGATAAGTTAACAGCTACTGAGAAGGCAAGTAATTTAGTCTATTATATTTGCAAATACAACTTTTATTCATTAACACTCCCAACACATAATGTGATATTGAAAAATGTCTGGCCTTTGTGGAAATTGAAATCTGCTCTGTGACCCAAGGGCACTCATTGCGATATGCGTAGTGGTCGACGTGTCGATACTATACGCTGAACCGTGATTATTCGAGTCCTGCTGGGGGTGCTGATGAGGCTTAGGTCGGGCCGAAATTTCAGTCCACCCTGAATGCGAATATCATTTTGGAAGGAAGACTAAATGTAAGTCAATAGATACGTGGGGCCTACCCAGGTGATTGTGGGAAAATTCGACTTAAGGCTCTCTATCACCTTAAACGAAATAGAGTTAATACACCTCATATATATCATCAATCTGTTTTCACACAAAGTGAAGAATTTCACTTGGAATGCGCCATTCAGAGAATATCAGAAGTCAGCCGTCGTATTATGTTGAGATTCACCGACGAATCTCTTCCCCAGGAAATTTGAAAGCCTTTATAGCACCATAAAATGGTTGGTCAGAAGGGGTGTTTTCCAGAACGATGCCCAACTGGAATCAGTGCAGGCACTATCAATGAGCCTTATCATTCTTGGCACCAAGACACAATGCATATCATCAACCCCACATCCTTGATAACAAGGCTATAGTATATGCATATGCAATAGAAATAAAATACATATTATTTATGCCTCACTTTTTGGCATACTATGTTCTTAAAATTAAAATAACCTGGGGAGAAGGGAATTTTTCATGAATAAAAAAATCTAACAACAGTCAATAAACATACAGGATTGATATATCAGTAGTTTACAAGTGTAATTATAGAGGCCGAGATAGCACTATCTTTACATTGGCCTCAGTATATAAGGAGGCAAGGCTAAGTGAAATTCAAAAGTATCGCGAGGCCTACTCCTCTCATTCTAGTAAAGCTAAACTATCATATTAAGTGATCTAGAATGGCGAGGTTCTTACTATAATATTCTGGCAGATTAACAGAATAATCTCGTTTTAGAAAATGAGTTCAGATAAAAACGAAATATTAAATTTTCCGCGTATATCAAGAAAAAAATTGAGCATAAGAAAGAGGGCGAGTATTTACTGTTAAAAACGTGAAGTTATTGAAAATAAGACAAGAGTTGAGGTATTCTGATTTTAAAAACACTTAAATTTATGCTTTACACAAAATGAGTCGAATCATCTATATAGAAACTACACCCAAAAGGCAGAGCCTCAATTTCAAATCAAAATCAGAGTCTAGACAAGGGGCGCCGGTGTGTGATGAGACAAATCGCGAAGCGAGTTTGGTGATGAAGCGTGCCGGATGAGGCCACCTGCTGTCCGAGACACCTTGAGACCTTGCTGGAAAGCTTTCAGAAGTGAATCCGCGGCAGAAAAGACTACGATGTATCCAGGCTACGTGATGTAGAGGGCAGAGTCGAATAGTTCCATTCCCTGCTTCGTATTCAACTCCATTCATTGCCTCAGTATCCTTTTCTGAAACTGATAATGGCCCTGTGTTGTGTGGTAATTTTGAATTTGAAGTGGATTCATTGCCATCAAAAATAGAGGCAGTATTTGAAAGAGATTTCTCGGAAATTCTGGAGACAAGTCTTGCTCCAAGAAATCGCTGGCTAAATCCATTCAACTGAAGAGATTTAGCACCGATAGATCGAGAAGATAAAGGCACCTGAGGACAAGACATGGATAAATTTTTAGGAAAATTTTAATTTACATTATGAGCAATATTTAAAATAAGGTATGAAGATCAAGATCGTGTAGCCTTTTGTACAGTCGGGGTCTCCTTTCGTTGTATACTAGTTGTTAGACCATATTTTCGCAACTAGGTATTATTTGAAGGAAGACCTAGAAAAACGCATTTTGTCCGTAGTACATGGTATACATAATAATTTCCATAGTCGAACCGTGGATGTGGTACATTCCCGGCATCGTTAGTGAGTCTTGCCAGACTTACAATTTCTTACTTGCTTATTTAAAGGTGATATTGTGTACCTTTTTGAGAGAAATTCATGATACATCTTCACGTTATACGTTGGCTTTCTCACCCCATACCCACCCCACCCCACCTCCAATCCTCGTACTAGGAATGCTGATCTGAGTGTGTCTATTATCGTATTTGAATAGAGTTTTGAGAAGTCCGCAATCCTCTTCCCACATGTCGAAGTCTCCCTCTTGCCCTTTATGATCCGTCTCCTATCTCCCTGGTTCAGGTATTTTAGTCGGCTACTGCCACCCTATCTGTGCTACTCAAGGCACTATTCCCCACACAG